GTTGTACACGCTCCAAATTAGCCAGTTCACCGACCGTGCAGGGGTATGTCGCCGCACCATCGTACTCAAGTCTTGGTCTGACATGGGAAGCGTACAGCAGCCTGAAAACGTCCATCGTGTGCTCGTTGAAAGACCACCGATAGGCCCCAGAACGCTCCATGCGCTAGCACGGACACGATCGGTGTTTTATCGGGTCTTTAGTGATGACGTAACCTTAACACCCAGGTCTCTTTCGCACGATGGTCTGCGCAATGTGGTTCCCTGGAAGTTGTAGACTACCTCTGACTTAGCACGCCCCAAATGCAGGTGAGCACACTTTGCTGTGTTGACTGGAAGAGCTCAGGTGTCCGCCCACTGAGCTAGGTTGTTCAAATCCGCTTGAAGAGAAATTTGATCATTCGGATCCTTGATTGTACGCAAGATTTTGATGTCATCCGCATACATGAGGGATGGGCTGCATAGTTGACCAGGCAGGTCGTTCACATAAACCACCAAGAGCAATGGACCAAGAACCGAGCATTGGGGGACCCTACTGGGAGCAGAATACCACGCAGAGAGCGATTTGTCAACACGGACGCAGAATTTCCCGTCGATGAGGAAGTCTCGCAGCCAATTCCGCATGACCACACCCACACCTAGGTTGGACAGCTTTCGCAGAAGGAGGTCGTGCGGCACCTTGTCGAAGGCCTTGCTGAAGTCCACGAAGATGATGTTCGTTTCGCGTCCTTTGGACTTGTCCTCCGTCCAGCATTCACGCGCAATTAGCAGATTTGAGAGGCATGAGCGACCCGTCCGTAAACCGTGTTGTTGGTGGCACAGGTGACCGTGGCACATCAAATGCTGCTGAAGCCGTGCAGCCACCAGTCGCCCCATCACTTTACTCACAATGGTAGTAAGGCTGACTGGCCGATTGTTCCCAGGGTCACTCCTATCCTTAACTTTGGGTAGTGGAACAATGACAGCGTCCTTCCACTGCCGCGGTAAACGCCCTTGAGTGAATGACAAATTGAACAGGTTGCACAGTGGCGCTGCAAGTTCACCTGTCAGCTCCTTCAGGATCAGCATATGCACACCCTCAGGTCCAGGTGACTGGTGAACCTTTAGTTGACGCAGCTCCAGAGCCACCTCTCCGATGGTAAATGGGGTACATTTCAGCGCAGTGTTAGTGTCCAGTAGATGTGCCAGTGTGCTGGAGGCTGGGGTGTAAACTGAGGCATCATGTGATGCCAGCATCTCCGTTTTGTCCTCATCTTTTTCGGCTAGTGCCCCATTTTTGGCGAAAGTCGGGAGATCAGGCGTTGCTCTGATTCTTCGCGTGAGGTAGGCATACAATTGCCTTGGTGCTTGTACTAAATCCGCTGCTAATCGTTCATCGAATCTGGTTCTCTTGCATTTGCTTAGTGCAGTACAATGATACCGAATACATCGATATTCCTCATATCCTGCACCTGTTGCACGGTACCTGGACCAGGCTTTATTCCGCTGCCGGAGGCACGCCCGCAGTTCTCGGTCAAACCACGGCGGGCCCATAACGTGTGTTCGATGTCGGTGGGGTGGAGAGAATTCCAGTACGAGTTGCTGGATTCTATGACGAACCAACTCCCAGGATACATCTACATCCTCAGGGTTCCAGGAATCCCAATTTGTGAGCGATGCAGCCTGACGCACATCCAGAAAGGATGAGCGCCCCACACTTCGTCCGTCCTGTGGTCTGTCCGTTTGGGGTACGCCACGCCTCCAGTGTATACGCAGAACGGAGTGATCACTAGATGCAATTGGTGGAAGAAGGTCAATCCTAGTCGTATCTGATTGCCTCGGCGAAAATACCAGGTCAAGTATGGATCTTTGGTACCCAACTATCCGCTTGGGCACATGAACATGCCGAACAAGTGACAGGCCCTGGACAGCGAAGAGAAGTTCTCTGGAGAACAAATCTGCATGCTGAGGGCAGATATCTTTTTCCCAATCAACATGGGGCGCATTGAAATCACCCAAGACAAGACAGTGTCTATCGAAGGCGTACCTCTGTATGCTGGCCAGCAGCTCTGGGACGTACACAGCTGGTGTGCCGTAAATCACTCCAACTATGGTATACCATCCAGCACAAAGCTTGATTCTGCAGCACAGGGCTTCTCCAAAACCTTACGGATGGGCGTAATTCTCCAGCACTGGAAAAGGGAGACCCAAGCGGGCAAAACGAACAATTCCACCACCGTGACGTGGCGATGATCAATCCGTTCGAAACACTACATCCGTGGAGTGATATTTCGGAGTCCCGGACATCCGGTGTCAGCCAGATCTCAGTGATTGTAATAAGATCGCGATTGTGGGATACAACGAAGTCCTCCAGCTCATCCCTTTTTCTCAGCATCCCTCGGGTATTGGTTGAAGCTAGCACTGCGTGGTTACCTCGCCATTCACGCCTCAGGCTAATCCCCCCGTCCGTGGCTAAACAGAACTTATGATTTAAAAATAACAGTCTTCTACTCCCGATATAATAGGTTGTTTTTATGGTGACTATAGAATATGGTGATGAGTCCAATTTTGACATCATTTTGCGTCAATCCTCAATCGGGGATATCCAGATGAAATGAGAGGGGAATCTGCAATGGTTAAGCGAGTTGCCAATCTCGGCGAACAGGTGAAATGGATTTCGTTTCCCTCGAGCTACAAGAACCGATTTTCACTAATTTGTCAGACAGGAATATAACGGCAATGGAAAAGACGATGTGCGTAAACGTGAATTTTAATTGACAATACACACAAACAGCAGACACACAATAATCAGTCAGGGTGTGCAAGCGTACAGTTGATCACCCGTCACTTGCTCGGGTCCTAGACTCGATGTCACATGGCAGTTTCGGGTTCCTGTCAGGTGTAGAAGTCTCCAGTTCGTTAAAACACTGGGTTTCCCCAGAAGTATCTCAGTGGTTTTCAACCAAGAATTGTTTTGTACTGTATTGAAGCTTTGGTGAGTTATATACAAACTCTCAGCTATTTAAAGAGATTGGAAAATTGTTGCCATTTGATGCTTATGCCTTAATGTTATCGACCTTCTAGTGTTCCTGTTTCTCTGGTTCATACGTGCACTAAATCAACCTCCCCCCCCCGCGCCCCACTCTTCACAATACTTAAATTGGAATTTTTCCCGCAACGAACGAAATCGAGAAAATTGAATGAGCGAAGGAGTAAAGTGCGAGTGAGATTATGGGCTCAGTTCTAGTCACAAAACTTTACAGTACCATTTTTCGTTGTACTACTCTGGAGAAGAGGAATTGCCCGTTGCTTGGATAATGACTTACCCGAGGAGCAAAACAGTCCGTGTTAACAGATCATTTTGTTTTAGATCGCTTAGTTAATGACAAACGAGTGGGTAGCATGCTTTTGTGCTATCTGTGAAGTCCCGCGTTCGATCCCCAGTTGGGCCGATTCGTTCGCACTGCTGATGAGATCCAACTAGGTCGAAACAGCTGTCCGGTGCTTCATAGCTTTTTCGTTCACGCTTCATTTGTTATATATACACGACGGATGCCCATTGAAATTGAAATCCTTGACTTATTCAAGGAACAGAATTGCTCCAAAGGCATCATCATCATCATCATCATCATCATCATCATCATCGTCAATGCACGGACCGTAGGCTTTTGTTTCTTACTAATTATGATGAGATTACAGTTTGGGGAAACTACAAGTGTGCATACAAACTCGATCACTAAAAAAAAACAATCAAGGTGATATTTTCATTTTAAGAGTGTGTTTTATTTTCCCATGTGTTACGGTTCACCTCAATGACATACGACATGGTACTTTCCTTTCAGCAAATCTGCTTTCATACTCTCACTAGGGGGACGGGACCATTTGAAAATACGATGTTTTCACCACAGAATCACAAGCACAATAAACACCAATGTCCGAATTAACACTTGTCTCTCATAAACAAACTAACTGTAAAAGCAGAAAACAAATCAGTTACAACAATCATTTCGAGTTTGACTCAGCCCAGTATAATTACTGCTATGATTGTTGTTGCAGAAACCCTGTTGAAGATGCGAAGATGCTCGTCCTTAAAATGTCTCATTCAGTGAAAGCTGAAAATACACCTATTTGGAGCGAATAAAGTCATGGCGTAACTTCAAAACAAAACATTTCTTTGCTCTTGTTCTTCATTGCTATTTCAGCCAAGCAATCCATTTCATTTGAAAAGAACTTTCCATTAAAGCTCTCTCCTGTTTGTTCAACATCTGCTTATATTACCAATTGATCGCAGGCCATGGTTTACATAGCTCTCTGCAATTCGTTTGACTATTTTGCCAACTTCAGTCAAATATCATACGTTGGTAATTCTTTTCAGCTCATCGTTAATAACATTCATTTATGTTATCCCTTTGAAATGGTCACGTGACGAATAAGAGCGAGCAAACATGGAAGCGCAACACTCACTTCCCGTGAAAAGGTATAGACACATACACACACATACGTGCACACAGATGTTGAAGAATGCTTTGACTCGATTGGTTCACTTTGTAGCCTTAGATGTGTTGACTGTTTAGGCGAACCGGACAGCATTATATTCAGTTCATCAGAGTTGCACGAACTTATAACTCTGTCAAGGCTATTCGTATAACGTGGAACTACGCACCCGGTCCATTGGTGTATTGCGAACACATGCGAACAAGCGTATGCACACACACACACACACACACACACACATCTCATTCAAATGTGTTGGTAACAAACCAGATTGTGTACAGTATACAATAACAGACCTGGTTTACTGTCATTTTGTTGAAACGGGTCATTCACATAACAGTATGACACAATGGATTTTTTGCTTACTCTGTATAACAACAGTAGCTCAGAGTCAAACCACCAAGCAAGTTCTCACGGGAACTTGGACGGTGAGTGACAATGAGGAGAGAGAGTTCACCGTGGACACGCCATATGGATTGGATAGTTATTCTGCTCTGAAGATTGGTGGTTTTCTCGACGATCCTTTACTAGATACACACGATACCGATTATCGATGGGTTGCAAATAAAAATTGGACTTTCACGCATGTATTTCGTGTGAATCCGGACAGTCGACGGGGCCTGGTCAACGAACTGGTATGGAACGAACTGGATACGTTTTGTCGGGTCTCGATCAACGACATCCTCCTAGATCAAGTGAACAATAGTTTTTTATATCGGTCTTGGCACCTTGGAAATTACATTCGTATTGGAGGAGTAAATATCTTGAAGTTGGAATGCACATCCACTACTCAAGTAGTCAATCAGATTGCCAAATCAATGAAAAGTCCTCCACCGCCAGATTGCTGGCCCTCGGGTTTTCATGGTGAATGTCATGTCAATCTAGTGCGTAGCACCCAGGCATCCTTCGGTTGGGACTGGGGTCCAGCTTTTCCCATACAGGGATTCTGGCAACCTCCTCAGCTGATTCGATCAGAGTTGGGGTGCCGGTTTGGGACTGGGTTCCGATTTTTCGCCTCCATTTCTAATGGGAATAATGGCAGTGTTCGCGATTTTGTCATTGCACCTCAAACTATTTTATGGAACGCTGCTGTTAGTGTGGAAGTTGTTTTTGTCCCACCGATGTCTGACAGATTGAGAAGTTTTTGTATATCGTATATCGTGGATGACCTAATTCCGAAAGGCGGTATGCAATGTTTCACCCGCTACAGAATTATGAACAAGTTGGATGTTCCTGTGAATCTGCTAATCAGGCAATCCGGAGTGACCCCATGGTGGCCGAATGGAATCGTCACAGGACCACACACGTATCGGTTGCAGCTGAAATTGATCACAACTAAAGGCACAGTGCTGGATCAAACGGAGCACACAATCGGCTTTCGACTATTCGATGTGATCGAAGTAAGTAAGCCGTATTTTGACTCACGTGACTTGTTCCGTTCAAATGGATTGATTTGTACGCGGATACTGACCGCAGGCCGTTCACAGTACCGCCAACGATTGGATACATGAAATAAAATGTTTTTGCTTTAGTTGCCAAAGAAGTCATAGACCCTTGCAAATAAATTCGTGGATGGGGTGAAATCTACAGGGAGCTATGTCCAAATCACGTGTTATTTTGTTTTAACTAAACACAAAACCCAAACAATTGGAAGAAAATGCGTTAGCGATGTTTTTGCACTAACAAAACCGCTTGCATTCCAATCTCTAGTCCCAGGTGTGTTCAAAATGTTCGTCTTAAGGTCAACTCCGAATCTTATGGCTTTATTGGTTTCTACCTTGAATAGAAAGCGTGATCTCTTGAACGGATTCTTGTTGTAGCGCACACGAATTCACACCAAAACGGAGTCTGTTCACGGATTACATACACAATTTTCACACGTATGAGGTCATCGGGAATGTAACGAAATCCTAAGGAGTGAGATATGTACAATAAAAGCAATACGCACATCCTAGTGTCTGTGAATTGGCACGGGATAAGCTACGTGTAAATGATAAATGGAAAACGTTTCAATCAACTGCCCGGTGGCCGAGTGGATAGCATCCTTACGTTCTGTCTGTCGGGTCCCGGGTTCGATCCCCAGTTGGGTTGATGACTCCTCATTGCTGATGAGACCAAACCAGGTCGAAACAGCTGCCCAGGGCTTCCTAGCCTTTCAGTTTACGCCTCATTTGCTTTATACACGATGAATTCTCCCTATGATGTGAAGAAAAATGACGTAGTCGTACACTGTGTTGACCAACAGTTACGTGGCTAAGGAGAAGGATTTCGGTTACCAATCTGAAACCTTGCATTTAAGTCCCGCCGGGGGAAAAACTGATACCAATCGCCAATTAAAGCCCGAAATACGAAATACCTGTCTTGTTATTTTCATCTGCCGTTATACACAGTTCACTTCAGGGCATATTTATGAAATTAATGCTTCACTTCGGAAATAAACACATTTTATTCTATCCCAAAATAATCCACTACATCCATATTATTTTTATATCTTAGCAACCAGTAAAACCGGAACAACTATCTCTGGGTTTGTCGTTCTACTTTCGCGTGAATGGTCTTCCGGTATTCGCAAAAGGAGCTAATTGGATTCCGTCTCGATTACTTCCTGGGCGGTCAAGTGGACACATGCGACTGGTAAATGATACACTACCACTCGGCTTTGGTTCTGCACGCCAGCTATTAGCCAGTGCAGCCGTAGCTGGAGTGAATGTTATTCGCATATGGGGCGGTGGACGTTACGAGCCGGACTCGTTCTATGACGAAGCTGATCGTCTGGGACTGATGATTTGGCACGATATGATGTTTGCCGTATCTACCTATGCCAAACAAGATCCCGGGTAGGTTCTGTGCTCCCATTCTGAATGCTCACTTGTCCTTTATGGGTGTCTCGATTGAACAGCGTGAACCCAAATACGAATGGTGTAGAGCAGAGCATGACGTTTACGGCAACTTGATGCATGGGAAGCGAAAATGGCTTTCATGTGTCTTATGTCACACTACCATCGATCAGTAGATCAACATTAACTCTGCCACGTGGCGAACTGTGGGTGGTTATCCAATTCATTTATCCCTGATGGATGATCGTGTTACGGAATGTCTCTAGGTCTTACCGAAGTTTAAGTGAGGATAGCACAGAGAAAAACTGTAAAACTGTAATAAAAGGTCGAAAAGTAAATCACTAATAATGAGTCAAAATCGGTGACTAGTAAGCAACGAAGTTATTCTCTCGTAATATGTTCATCATTTGCCTCATTTCACCCATTGGTGTATCCGTGGTACCGGTTCTCTCTCTCGCTAATCAGTGCATCTATTTTCTTTTGAATTTATTGGCGTGAAACTATTGAAATTGATGTATTCAATCAACGTATTCCAAGCTGGTTTCCTGTAGACGTTTCAGCTCATGAATTGTCGAAAAACAGCTTGTTTCACCCTTTGGATTTGATTTCAAATATCACAATGAACATTTTCCATATATTGAAATCCACCAAGTACAGAAGTGTATTTAATACGGCTTTCAGACAATCTGGATTCTCTAAACTCCTGACTGCCGCATATTTCCGTCGGATGCTGAATACAAAATTTAGTGATCATTCGAGCACACATCGATTCAGGTTATTGAAACTGGTGGTGTTTTATATGAAAATAACGCAGGATTTGATTCCATTATATAGTGCCTTTCGTCATGTATTGATCAACTGAAGTGTGAACTAAAAAGATAGGTAGGTAGGATGTGACATATCATCAGCTGTACGAACCCTTGGTCTCAACAGAACGCAAACATGCTACTACTCAATCGACTTCCGGGCATCTCATTGGACCACTTTGCATTCCGCCTTATACATGTAAAGCCCAATACATCTATGCGCGGAACATCATACTTCACTCGCCAAAGCACTAGCCTCAAGNAGGGTTATGACTCGGTTTGAAGTAATAAAACCTGAATACTCGTTACGTGTTACATGCATCATTACTCATCAATCCACTTCTCATTTGCCATGTACACGAAGAAACTCACCATAGTGTAGTATTTTCCGGTCTATTGAAACAAAACTTTAAAACTGTCCGTTGTGGATTAATGATAACGAACCGTGCATCTTTAATTTCTATCGATTCATTAATCACAGAACGTATTAATGGTCATATGAAGTCTTGTATGACCTTTGCAAATAAGATTCTAAACGACTCCACCCATCCTTTGCATTGTGACTTATCTTCTTGTCGCTCCCACTCGATCACTCGTTCCTCTTATCGATACCTACCCTCCCGAATAAATATTTATAAAAACTCCACTGTACCGTATCTGACTTGACCAACAAGGAATCAGTTATAAATGAATTGCATCAATCTTTAATTGAATGAATCAAACTTTGGAGACATTTATTCTTTTACACAGAACTATTGAATTTATACTTCTATATTTTCCTTAGTGCGACAACCAGTGTACAATTTTTAACTAAAATGTAAACATATCTTAGCTTGCAAAAGTTATACAAATGCAAATACAAATCAATTTCTCCACTACCCCCATGAAAAAAGTAGTCAGGCTGGAATGTTTCAAACCGAATCATCTAGAGACTAGTACTGAGATGACCGAGGTGTGATACTCGTAACGAATCTGTACGTTATCCTATATTGAAAAGTTATGATCGACTGCCCGGCTAGTTTGTCTGAGTTCTACTTCTGAGGTCCCGGTATCATTCTTCAGTCGGGTCGATGGATTCCCATGGATGATGAGCCCCAATCCAGTTGGAACAGCTGTATAGTGGTACGTGAAGAGCGTTTATTTTAGTTCTGTTCGGTGGAGTTATTACTACTGTAGGAGATTTAGTAGCATCTGCCATGACGTCAGGGACAGAAGTGGAAGGCAGAAAGAGGAGTTTGAATCTTGTTTTTTGGTTCCCCTTGTGAATAAGCCATCCCGGATTGAGTCTAACCTGTGCTTGAAATCTCTCACAAACGTGCTGGTCACCATTTCGTTTGGTAATCTATTCCAGTGGTTCTCACTACTCTGATTGCACAGGAGTTCCGTTGTACTCGAAAGCAGGTGTTTTCCTTTGCAAAATTCACGTCGTTTTCGAGGAGGTCTGTGTTTACCATGCTCCTTAATATGAGCCTCCCTCTTGTTCCTCGATCAATAAAAACTTCAAGATCTTGAAGAAACACCAATTAGGTCTCCTCATTTCTGTCTTTCCCCAGAAAGAATGGTTTCAGCATGTGCAGTCGTACCCCATACTCTTGTGTCCTCAATTGTGATAACCATCTCATTAAACGCCCTTGTTCGTCTGTTTCTTCTAAAATTCAATGTTTCTCTCTTTCTCTCTCTCTCTCTCTCGGTAGCAGTATTTAGTTTTACTAAAGGTCAAATTTGCCCGTTTGCTGTTTCGTTTAGTAATATTTGCCAAATTTTTCAGTAACCCTGTTGTTCCTTTCGTCATCACTGATTGTAATTTAACACCCATGGGCCTCGGGAGAAATAAAGTCATCTTTTCAGTGCAAGCCCAAAGAAAAAGGCCAAAAGCAGAGATTATGATGTTCCAATCAGCCCATTCGAGTGAACGCACTGCTGATGTCTGTGAGGTGGGTTTTACTTATTCGATGATTATTGACTCCTCACCGGTCACGTGCATTTATATGTGATGGAAATATCTGTGATGATGGAAAAAGAGCACTGGACAGCTACTTTATTCCGTTTGGGACTCTCTAGCAGTGTGTACATTTGTGTCACTGTCGAGACTCGAACCACGAACCGTTCATCATTACAGATATTTTCATCGCATATAAATGCTACACGATGAAATTCAGAATATAAATGCATTTAACTCGTGAGGAATTAACGATCTCCCAAAGAGTGGATCCCCACTCACAGGGTTATCAACAGTGTTTGGTGACTGTGAACAATCAAATAGGCTAATCCAAACATGATAGAGGATTGAACCATTCGCACAACTTGATGACTGTCGACCGCGCAGCTCAGGAATAGGAGTTTTAACTCCCAACCCGAAGGTTAACGATGACAGTATATTTTGACAGTTTTTACCCAGTTAAATTACATCATAGTCACACATGAGCCACGGGAACAATTCCTACACGGAACAGATGGAACGCATGCGGAATTTTCCAAAATGTTCGTTCATAGATTTGAGTGTTCTGGATCTGACCCTTGCTCTCCTGGAAAAGTCCTGTCTCTCTCTCTCTCTGGTATTCGTTTAACCTCACTGAAAGCCTTGTCAAGTAGATTCAAAAGTGGACACTGCGCTGGAACATACTGGATAGCATAAACTAAGACCAGCACAGTTTCACCGGCCCGTTGACGGACTGACACACTTTCGATTGTTCAGCTACCGATTTTAGAAAATACTTCTCGAGAATTCCGTTCAAAATCCCAGTGTTCATTTCAGTGTACCAGACACCGATGTGTGCATATTTTGCCTTCAAAAAATATATATAACGATTCTTGAACTGATACATTTTTAGCATTCTAATGATATTTCTCACTAAAACAATAAAATTTTCTTTGGAGATTTTTTTTTATGCAGCTCATGCTCCGCCTCTAAGTCAGATAACTGTGCCAAACCTTCAGCCGTGCTTTGATTTCACGCGTTAGGGGTGTGCGGTATATATATNCGGTCTGTGCGTGTGTGCTAAACTACAGTTAGGGTGGAGGGGGGACTAATCAATTGTTAGTGGTTTCGAAACGATTGCTAGATGCCTCAGAATGACGTTTAATGACAAATTAACAACGATTTAAAACCCATAGGTGTACTAAAAATGTACATTTGATACGCATTACGCTTTGATCACAATAATTGCTAGCATAAGCCATTGAACATTGCGAACTTTGTTAGGTTCCGATGGAATAGCTACTGTGTCAAATAGAATGATCACGAGGTTGTCTGCTGCGTCAGTCTGATGCACATTTTGGTTGATTGTCATTAAATTTAAACCCTTTTGAAGAAGTGATTATATTTATATATACACATATGACAGTTTGGCAAACAACGATGTTGATTGTTGTTTTTGTAGATCGGGTGGTATAATATGATGTTCCGTTTTTCGCCGAGCTTGGCAATTGTATTGCAAACGTTTCATCACCAATCGAGGTGACATTCTCAATGC